CATTTAGTTAACAAAAGAATTAAAGCAAGGCTTATCTGTATCTTCATGTCAAATGTATGGTACGAAAATCTATGCATGCAAAACTTCTGAGTCATGACTACTGTCACCATTCCTTGCTTGTTGTGCAGTAATGGTCCTCAGAGAAAAATCTTTAACGACGTTCTGTCCCCCATTCCCGATGCCCCAACTGTGTAATGACCTTTTCAATATAATTCTTAATATCAAAAGAATCCTTAGAAAAACCTTATTTTTGGTGTTCATCCAGATTCGAGGGACAGATCTCTGGCAAAAACATTGAGATTGGCATTATTGGAACTGACAAAGTATTTAAGTAGGTGTCTTCTTGTCCTTAAAATATAAATTTTGTTCGCTCTTTTACGAGAAATTTAACATTTGTTCACTCTTTTAGCTGGTTTGTTACTAAAACAGTAGTTCGTTTCGTTGCAGAGTTCTCACGCCAGCGGAAATAGATGATTACCTACAAGAAGTGGAATAGATTTTCTTTTCCGCTTAAGGCATTGGAAAAAGTTGTCAGGTTGGAAGCGCAGACGGGGTCATAGCACAACTATTGGATGTTCTTGTTGGCTTGATTATCACTTGACTTTAATCAAACTAGACTTAGTTGTATGTTGGCCATGTTGTGGTTATTTATTGCCTGATGTATGGCTCTGAAAAGTTATATGGGTTTTCTTTTCTCAGTTTCTTGAACATACTGATTGTTCTATGTTACCTGAAACACATGACAGTAGAGAAAAGCATTATATTATTTGAGCAACCCTCTGACGTCAGAGAAATGGATTTGAAAATAGAAGGGATACATAATTACTTGCTCTGCATTTTCATTTTTGTTAACTAGAGAAGCATATATAATTGGTGGAACTCCATTTTCTACTAGGAGAGACAAATTCTGCGCCCATTGACCAGCTAAAATTGATTATATGGGCTTTTTTTTAGTCTTTTAGTTTTACTCTATTTCATAGGACTCATTTACTTACTTGAAAATCAATTTCATTAGTTAAGGAAATTATAAAGGTAGACGCATTGAGTTTTTGGTATACTGAAAAGGTAGAGGAAATTATGTTGTCAGAAATTTAATGTTTGCACATGAAACAAGAGTTGTCATAATCAATGCAAAAGTGACTTTAATTCCACAAAGAGAAGGATACAATATGAAAGGACATCCAAACTAAATGTTACATAAGCAACAATTAACAAGAGCAATAACGATATTGGTCTTAGATCCTAGTCTCAAGTTTATCAGCTTTGCAGAGAGGATTTTCCTTAGCCAAAATCACACGGCCTCTAGACTTAAAATCAAAATTGCATGTATGTTCCTCTGGATACCTATGAACTCCACAAAACATTCCTCCACACCGACAATTGAAACTTATTAATCCCAATTTTTTCTTGCAAATCATGCATCTTTGCCTCTTCATCGTCAAACCAACGTTCTCAGCTGTAGCAGAATCAGAATCATCAACAGTAAGAGACGATATCTTCTCGGATAAGGCTATCACATTCTTGGCTTGTTCTTCTTTCAGAAAAGCTTTGTAGCATTGGGAACAAAGGTTGTGATTACTTGGTGTTCCATAGAAACCGCAACCCCTTGCACATAGACTTGTGTTTTCTGCTTTGCCACAAGAAGTCATCTTCCTTCGAGTTACTTACCTCTTTCTTCTACAAATTCTTTTGACGTTTTAGATATTATAATTATTTCTTAGCAGGAGAGCGAATTATTAGTGTTGGTGATGGTGTGCGTAGCTCTTTGTTGATGAGTGCCGCTCCTGCCTTTGGTTGTGATATATATAGGACTTAAGCTGGTAATCCAAATGGGAATCAAATTAGGACTTTCCTAAATTTGTTGTTTCCTTTCCCACTTCTGTTTGGTTTTGGTTTTGGTTTTTGTTTGGTTCGGGAAAATTAATCTTGCGGAATCCTTAACCAACACGGATTTCTTAATAGGAAATATATTACTCCTACTAGAATATTGACCAATAATCATGCACGTTATCGAAGGAATACGAGTCTCTCTCGCTCTTTCTCTGTCCTTGTTCATTTTAGAATTGATTCACAAATCAAAAATATTTTAGTTTTTGAAAATTTGTTACATGAAAAACTTTATTGCGCTAAGGTTTCTTTCTTTGCCCTTGCACCGTAGAATATTATTGCTTTTTAAATCAAATTTTAATTAATATTCTGATTCTATACGTTCGGTGTATGACCTTATAATTACTTGTGCACATTTTTTGACGCATGCTTATATATAAATATGATGAATTGAACTTGCATAAATGAAAGAAATTAAATATTAATTGTATACATCTTCTGTTTGAGAAATTTGTAACGAATAACGCACTAGAGATCGATAAATAAGATCAAATACCAAAAGTGTAAAGTATAAGCAACCTTCACTTGCTTCGTGTTCCTCTCTTCATTCGCTGTGAGTGTGAACCGGAGAGAACATACCACGATCTGTTGCAAAAGTTGGAAGATATGTTAGGGAATTCCTTCCCCAAACTAGGGTATCTGATAAACGAGAAGATAGAAATTGCAAATTATCTTTAACCTATTAGATCATTGCTATTCAAGATATTAATTATATAAAATGACTCCCTAGTAGCTATAGGGACAAGTAGCTCTCGTAGCTCAGTTGGTTAGAGCACCCGTTTAGTAAGCGGGAGGTCTTGAGTTCGACTCTCAACGAGAGCATGAAGTTTACTTTTTTCGTTTTATTCCACGCTATACTTTTGAGTTTTGAACTTGCTTTCCCCCATCTGACAGTCAACTGCCTACGCAAATGACGAAGGGAAACCTCTTCTTACTCATTTAATCAAGAACATCATAATGTCCTGTGCTTCAGCATCAACTTATTTGGCTTTCGTTACATGAGAAATACTCATTTTTATATCACATACTTTTTCAATTTTCACAACTCCCTTGTTTCCCAGGTTAGAAGAAACAACCACTAACTTGCCAACAAATAAAACGGTATTCCAGAAGAAAACAAGGAACTTGATTTATCAGGGGTTGTATAAGGTTGCTCTCTCGGGTCAGTGACGAAATGCATTTGTTTATTACTGTCATATCATGTGGCAAGATAAATGGTAACCAAATGCTCGATTGACACAGTTGTTTCCAAATAATGCAGAAAAACACAAGACTGCCTGCCAAATTTGAGCAAAGTTGTAGGTCAGGTTTAAAGGATGAAGCACGATCTAGGTTTCAATATTTTCTCATGAATTTATGTGTTTTCCTACGTTCCACATTACCAAAATTTTTGTATTTTTTGCTTTATCCAAAGGAAAAGATGAATTACGGCCAATGCCAGTAACAGTCGAGTACCAAAGCCTGGACCTTCATGCATCTATTTAGTGCACAGACAGTTATCATCAACAGCTTGAAGCTTATAACAATATAAACAGGAACACTTGAGGTCAGTCTCAAGTCAACATTTTCACCTAGCTTGTTGTGCAAAAAGCATGTAATCTAGAGAAAGATAAGTTACAAAATTACTCTAGATTCTCAAGCAACTAGATACAAGTTTTGGAGCATCGATAAGCCTGGAACCAGCTTCTATGGATCATCTTCAAGGTAGTAGATTCGATCCTTTTGATGACGCTAATCAAAATATATGTATGGTTTCCAAATGATCCGCATAAAATTGTAGGGCATGTCACCACCACCCTCCATCTACAAGTAATCATCTGATCATCAAGAACAGAAAGTTGTGAGCTTCTCGTTTAAGAAATGTGATAAGTACAAAACAAAGTGACCACCAATCAAAAGAAAACTGACAAGGCAGCAGAAACGGAAAAAACACTCATCTCTTATACACACCAAACCAATTTCATTGGTGATGTTTTATAGCTCATTCAGAAGTGCCCATATGCAGCTTTAACATAATACCTAGTATAACGCAGACATGACGCTGAAAGATTGCCGCACATGACACATCTGTTCCTCAAATAGGTACCTCATAACTGAGGAAGTTCACAACATGAGAGAATTCACTTCCCATTTCATCAAGAATAACTTGTGTGATATTTAAGTCATACAACATCAGTGTCAAATAACGTAGTGTCACATATAATAAAATATGTCACAAAATGAATATCTATGCATCAACTCTCTCATTGAGACATAATTAAGGAAATAATCCAGCGAATACATTTGAGTTCACAACCACAGGAGAAGCCTCAGTCCCAATCCTTGGTTAGCCCAAGTCTTTCCAATCATTGTCAACTTCACTCCACTGTTTCTAGCATAATTAATGCGAGTAGCTCCCAGGAATCCTTAATCTCCCTTGTGCGTTAAGACCCTTTCAGGTTTGAGATTGGCTATGATTGAAAATAAATTCCACAAATTGCATGTCAAAGCAGAGTTATCATAATGCAAAAACAGGATTTGAGGTAAACTAACTCGAAAGACTCCAAACCAAGAAAAAAGTAAAATTGATAAACCCCGAAAAAACAGATACAGTAAATTAACAGCTGCTAGAAGATCATACCATAAATAATTGACAAATCTCACAGAGATGGTATATCAACCAAAAATGCCACTTAAAAAAGAAAGGTACTCTTTTTTTTTTTTTTTTTTTTGAAACCNTTTTTTTTTTTTTTTTTTTGTGAAACCGCTTACCAGCATTGAACCCTTGACCTAGTAGTTTAGGGAGAACTCCCAACCACTACGAACAAGGAGGGCCGGTACTAGTTTTCTGGTAAGCTAAGATGCAAAGTTAATACCAATCAACTATGGATCCAACATTTGAACTGTATGGGTTTGGAATGTCTGAATCTACTGTTCATTTGACTTTCTGGGTTCAGAACATGTTATTTGGACCTATTTAGTGTTTTTTTAACACATACATAAGGTCTGAGCACTTGTGTGAATTGGACTGCGATCTAAATCACACAGAATGAATCAAGAAACAAAAAGTGTCACTCACCGGCTTGTGAAGTGCGGTTTAGAGCGGTTAAGCTTTTGAAGGTGCAGTTGTGACTCCATAATAAGTTTCATTCTCTGAATCTCCAAGTCCTTTGCGAATTGCATTCTTTGCTTCTCCAACTCCACCATTTGCCTCTGCTTTGCCTTTTCTACTCTTTCATATATCTCCCCAAACCTCCCTATTGCCTCAGCTATCCTCCTATAACCACCCCCCTCTACCACCACCCCACCACTCCTCTTTCGACTTGACTTCTCCAATCCCTCCTCATCCTCTTCACCTGAATCCTCAGACGCAGCCGCCGCCGCTGCTGCCATGGCCGAGAAATTCCTCCGTGACACCGTGTAATCCATGGCTGCCGCTGGGCGCTTCGACCGGAGACCAACTGGTATGCCAAATAGCGGCGGAGGAAGCAGCGGTGGAGACGATCTCCATTGAGGAGTGAACGTCGCCGGCGAAGGCGACGGAGACTTTCTACGTTGAGGAATGAACGTTTCCGGCGACGGAGACGGCGAGACTTTATAGGTGACGCCGATGAGGGGGTTGAGGCTGCTGAAGAAAGGCCACGTGGAGACATAACGTCCTTGAGATTGAGAAACCCTAGTCTTCTCGATCTTGTACTTCTTCTTTAAGGTGTCGATGCGGTTTTTGCACTGTATGTCAGTGCGGTATTGCTTTTTGGTGTGGCCGTGAAGGGCGTTGACAGCGTCGGCAACTTCCCGCCATTGCTGGTGCCGGAGATTTCCGCGATTGAGCTCCACGTACTTGGAACCCCATGTCTCTATTAAAGTATGTGTCGCTGCCTCTGACCAGCAATCTTCTCGAGCTGGAAAAACTGGCGTCCGAGCTGACACCGACGCCGGCGTAAGCATCGGAGGTAGAGGCAATGCTAGTAGCTTGTCGTCTGTACAAGGCGGCGGAGGTGACGGTGACGGCGACGAAGATGGAGAGTTTTTAATGGAGAAGGGTGAGGCTAAGTGGTCGTCGTCGTCGGACATAGTGCGGGAACGTGTAGCGGCGGCAGCGGCGGCTGACGGGAAATGAGAAGTGGTGGAGGAATTAGGGTTAGAAGAAGAGTGCGGTGAGGGGTNGCTTGTTTGGATTTGAACTGCTGGGCCTTTGGATTGAGCTTCATTGGGAGCCGAGTGACACTGGGCCTCTCTGTGTTTTTTTGGAGGGAAAAATATATATTCAGGCTCAAATAAGAGTATTTTATACTTTGTGGAGATTACTGTTTAAATTCTCGCTAGAAAATATTTATGTGCTTATTATTTATTAAGTTTAACCATAGTACTTTTTAAAATCACGAGTTCTTTGCATTTTACATCTATATCGTATAACATTATTTTTTTATTTAAATTCTTTATGTTCTATAATTTATACATTAATCTATTCTTTTGATGGTAGCTAGGTTTGATACGAATACAATTGCTTATCACCTGTCATTAGTTTCGAGTGTGGCTAGACAATCAAAAATCAAGTAATGACATAGCGATATGTGATTGAGTGATAGATTGATCGATGACGGAACGGAGAACGAAACTTTACAATAGTTTTTTCGTAGACGTTCTCTTGCATCACAGTTTTTTTAGATCGCTTACCAGCATTGAACCCTTGAGCTCGTAGTTTGGGGAGAGCTCCCAACCACTACGAACAAGGATAGCCAATACTCGTTCTCTGGTAACCTAAGATGCAAAGCTAATACCAATCAACTAGGGATCCAGCATTTGAACCGTATGGGATTGGAATTTTTGAATCTACTGTTCATTTGATTTTTTGGGTTCAGAACAAGTTAGTTGGACCAATTTGGTGTTTTTTAAACATATATATAAGGTCTGAGCAAAGCTATTGGGTCTGGTTGAACTGTATATCTGCCCATGCACAAGGACTTGTGAGAATTGGATTGCGATCTAAATCACATAGAATGGATAACATTATTTAAACGTGTACTTCTTTTTAAAATCACGAGTTCTTTGCATTTTACATCCATATCGTATAATATTATTTTTTATTTAAACTTTTTTATGTTTTATAATTTACACGTTAATTAAATCAAATTTTAATTAATATTCTAATTCTATACGTTTGGTGTATGACCTTATAATTACTTGGGCACATTTTTGACGCATGCTTATAAATATGATGAATTGAACTTGCATAAAGAAATTAAATATAAATTGTATACATGATCTTCTGTTTGAGACATTTGTAACAAACAACGCACTAGAGATTGATAAATAAGATCAAATACCAAAAGTGTAAAGTATTAGTAACCTTCACTTGCTTCGTGTTCCTCTCTTCATTCGTTGTGAGTGTGAACGGAGAGAACATACCACGATCTGTTGCAAAACTGTTTAAATCCTCGCTAGAAAATATTTATGTGCTTATTATTTATTAAGTTTAACCATTGTACTTGTTTTTTAAAATCACGAGTTCTTTGCATTTTACATCCATATCGTATAACATTATTTTTTATTTAAACCTTTTTATGTTTTATAATTTACACGTTAATCTATTCGTTTGATGGTAGCTAGGCTTGATACTGATACAATTGCTTATCACCTATCTTTAATTTCGAGTGTGATCAGACAACTAAAAATCAAACAATGACAGAGCGACACATGATTGAGTGACAGATTGATCGATGACGGAATAAAGAACAATACTTTACAATAGATTTTTTGTAAACGTTTTCTTGCATCACATCGTCTTCAACCAAAAATTTCCAAATAGGAAAAGTGGCTCGATCAACAAAAAATGAAGAGTAGCCTCCTTAGAGTCAAGCAAAGTCATTATCAATGAATTCCTGAGCAATTCTCAACCAACATATGTGATTCTTTTTTCTTTTTTTTTTATTCTCTCCCTCCAAGAGTTCTCTACTTTATTCTTGAGGTGACTGAAACTCACAACCTATTGGTTAGAAGTGAAGGGTGTTCACCACTTGTCAACATATGTGATTCATTCCCAAATCATACACCCTTGCTTATTCAATGGCCAAGAAATAGCACTTTCATTTGTGTACTCTTTCACGTACAACCATTTTTCCTACTTTTGCAAGGGTGTAAAAGAGTTTTTTTGTAGGTAGAGGATTAATATATAAAAAAAAAAAAGAAAAAAAAGAGAGAGGTTCAAATGCAAGGAAAAAAATATATCCTTCTGATGCACCTCAACCAGGCTCTGCGAAGCAACTTTTTCATCTGAAATATATGTCTTCTTATTTGCATCATGTCCATATTTGTCTTTTCTAAATCTAGGAGTATATATATTTTAGGCAAAACATATCCTTCACGGGATAGCATTGTAGTAATTACTTATAGTCACATTAGTAACTAGTGTATTTTGCAGATGATATTTAACTATTATTTGATCTTGAAGCAGCCTTGTGATATTATTAATCAAAGAGCAGTTGTGTATCACGTAATAGACATGTGTTTTATTAGCTTTTCTAATGCTTCAATAACTAGTATTTTAGCTCCTAAAAAGTTAAAAATTATGTGTTGTTTCTAATAATAGGAAAGAATTCAACCCATGATTACTCGATAGCTTTAGCTTTTGTTCGAACCGATTATTTCAGTTCTTTCTCTGTATGTATCACTTGATTCTTCAAATGTTTGAAGAAAACGTAGGGAAATCCTTTTATTTCCTCAAGGTCATAACTCATGAATATATCTTTTGTCAATTCAAAGTTTTTGTTAGCCTCACTCATTTCGACTATTCTCTCCGTTCCGGTTTGTGTGAACATATTTCCTTTTTGATCCGTTCTAAAAAGAATAACCCCTTTCTAAATGTGAAAGTAATTTAGTTTAAACTTTCAATTCTACCAATAATGAGAAACTTTTATAATCACACAAATATTCTAACATGTTTACCACCACAAGTTTCAAAAGAATCATAGCCATACAAATATTCTGACTTGTTCAGGACCACAAATTTCAAAATTATTTATTTTTTCTTAAATTCTGCGCCCAATCAAATAAGTTTACATCAATTGGAACGGAAGGAGTATTATTTTTCTTACTGACCACGCAAAGCACGATAGTTCAAAAAACAAATGCAATGTCCGAAGGATTCAATAAAATCCTTGCATTTACAATGAAACTAAATGTAGTGTGTCTTCCGTGACATAATATATAAGTAATGTCAAGGATTGCACCTATTCTTGACATAATATTGCATAGGGTTAAATATGCTTTGACACGTGGCTACCCAAAAAAGGGAGGCGTGGAACCCAAGACGGGGGTATGACTAAGACCGAAGATAGCTGTTCCGTTTGTCACCGGAAAGAATAACGCTAATAAAGATGTGATAAATACTCTTCGCCCGGTAGCATTTAATAGAGAATATTCTATGGCATTAAGAACGATTACCCGTTATATCAAATTTGGCATTTATGTTCACCATTACATCTTCATCAATGACCCTCATAATTGACATTAAAGAGGGGCACGATCCTAAGACCTCCTAAACTAGACGTAGCTATAAATAGTAAGATATCCGCTCAAGTCGTTGCTTGAAACTCAAGCAGGCTTTCCTTCAGTTTTCGGGAAGTGTCTGAACTTCTCGGATTCAATCCCTTGGTGAATGCTTCAGCTGTCCATTCATCCGGGACAACTGGGAGCAACATTCTCTCTTTCTGGAATCGGGTAATGAATTCTCGTAGTAACTCGGGCACTCTTTGCGCAATCCTGAATATGTCGACCTTTAGGGCCTGTACTTTTCTGGTCCCAGCATGAGCCTTGATGAAAGAGTCCGCGGGCATCTCAAAGGAGTCTATGGAATTCTCGGGTAACAGTGAATACCATGTCAAGGCTCTCATCGTGAGAGTTTCTCCAAAAAGGTTTTAGCAAAACAGCTTCAAATTCGTGAGGAGCTAAATCATTTCCATTCACCGCCATTGTATAGGTGGTAATGTGCTCTTGAGGGTTTGAAGTTCCGTCATACTTTGGCACATCGGGCATTTTGAACCGTTTTCAGGATTAATTCTGGTGCCGCACTTGGCTTGTATGGCAATTGAGTATACTTTTTTGAGTCCGGGCCTTTCAGCATTGGTGGCATGCCCGGGATTTGATCCATGCGGGAGTTCACTTCCCTCATAAACCGTAAAAGTTCATTCTTGAAAGGATCGTTCTCGTTATTTAGGCCGGATCTGCTTCCCCCAGCCCCATCGGAGCCAACTTCGCCCCTGGGAGTGTTGTTGTCGACCCTATGCGTTGTTTGATTCACAGGAGCACCGTGAGGAATCAGATCTCATCTATTCGCATTATTCGAATCCCCCGACAGCGCCTGCTTCAACTCTGTCATAACCTTATCCTGTCGCATGAGGTGGTCTAGAATGATCGCTTGTTGCTCTTGCAAGACCCTTATTGCGTCAACGACATGTTCCTCCTTAGTATCATCGGAAGTTATCCCCCGAACATGTCGAGGATATTTCCTGTCATGTATAGGTGTGGCGACATTCCTCTCATTGTAGGTGTCACTGATTGAGTCCTCGAAATGAGGCTGATCCCCTCGAATCTCGGGATTGTACGTATTGTTAACATCGTTATCTGCCATTTCTTATGATTTTTTCTAAGACAAAATAATCAAAAAACGTTAGTAGAAAAGACAAGGATCAATTTAATCGCACGATCGTCTAGGTCCCAGGATGGGCGTCAAACTGTTTACCCATAAAACGGTACAGTTGAATTTATACGTGATTTCTAGACAAGTGAATTAATTTGATCCTGAAATAATAAAATAATTATAGAATTATGCAATACTTAGCCTTGAGATGGAGACAAAATAACAAAAATAACAGTTCCGGAAACAGAATTTTCGGGCACAACAGTAATGAAATCGAAAAGCAAGAGGATAAGATTGTATTAAACTTTGTTTTTAACGAGGCAGCAACAGAAAGCATACTACGAAGATATCAGCAATAAGACCTTTAATAGCAAGGCACACAAGTAAAGATCCACTCGGGGACGGTTAGATAATCTTTTGCTCTATAGCAAATTTCTATCGGAAAATTAAGTTTGTTATTGAGCAAAGGTAACCCAACCGTTCACGAGCGCAAACCACTAAAGGGTTGTTAGATAGTCCTTC